TTGTTACTTGAAAGTACACAGAAATGTGCCCGTCCTCTAGGAATTCCAGGAAACTACACTTAGCTTGATTTCCTTGAGGGAGCACTCTGGAGTTAGGCACCCTGCTGTGTTGTGGTCTCCACACACACATTGTGTACCATACTCCCTCCCAGGATAAAGAGTAAAAAAAACCAAGAAAAATCCACAATGAAGATGGCTTGAGAGGTGAACTGCACTGGGAAGGGGGGAAAAAAAGACAAACCCCCATTTTGGCAGAACAAGGATGAAGTTCTCCAGAGGGATAAACTGGGATCCAATTTTTAGACTAACTGCCAGAGAGATTGGCTGCTTTCTTCCTATCTCGCTCCTATTCTGATGTAAATCAATCCCCATTCTTACTACCAAGTAAATATAGTTGTTTAGTGGAGTGGGCAGTTGCATGAAACCTTTTGCAAGTATAAAAATGGAAAGGAATATTTTGAATAAACTGGGAAGTGATTTCAGTGAGATAGAAGGAAGCATCGATGCAAAATATGTTAATAATGAAGTATGTAATTAGTTGTTACATCAAATTGCTATCAGAAGTAATATTCTAAAATGTTTATTGTCTCTGGTACGCTGTAAACATTGGGATACTTCCTCTCCCCCTCCCCCCATCTAATTGTGATGATTTGAAATTGGTAGAAATTAGCAAGGGCTTTTTAATATCCTTGGGCTGATAATAGTTTCTGACTCCAATGGGGTTTATTACCCAATTAATTAAGCAGAATAACAAATGTGGTTATAAGGTTTGGGGAGATAGATATATGTTTACTTGGCATGATGGATTGACATTGCAAAATAAAAGTTGCATAGTGTGATCAGCCCATGCTTATCCAGTATCAATATTCCAGTATGATCCCTGCACAAAGGATTTCTTCCATCTTTTTATCCTTTAAAAACCTCTAAATGGTTAAGATTGATTCTTCAGGAAGAACCTGCGTGATGGGTTAGACACCTGCTGGGAAAAGCGAGAAAGAAGTATGAAATGCCATCTTTTTACCTTATTGAAGGTCTTTATCCTATAGAGCAGGGTTTTCTGGGGACTTAAGGGCAGAGGAGGAGAGACTAAGGAATTTCCTTTCTGAATAGCTGTGCACTTGTAAGGTGCTGGATTCAGGACTCGGGGGAGAGCAGATATAATATTGTGACTCAGGCTACTGACTGCACTTGGCAGAAGAAAAGAAATGGCTGATTTATAAATCACGCAGTGAGATTTATTCAGAGAGTTTCATTATAGCCAATTAGACACATTCTAGGATGTGTAAGCTTGTGCAATAAAACAGCACATGTTATTTCAGAGACAGAAGGCATATGGAATTCCAAGCCTGCTGATAGGAAAGCTAAATTTGGGAAAGGTATATAAGCCTCCCCTTCCCCAAGTTTTTCATCAAATGTTTCTGTTTTATCAGTCTCAACTTTTCCATTTTGAGCGAGAAAACCTGAGGGAAATTTCTACTTGGAACAACATCACAGAAGTTGAAGTTCATAGGTTGTAATGGGTCCATAGTTGCCCATCCCTGGTTTATGGGATATCAACTCCATCTCCCTATAGTATCTTTATCTTATTGTTATAAATCAAAAGAAATAGCAAGGGTTTTAATTCGATGCTATGTATCCATAAGCTTCTTTCTTATCCATTTTCTCTCATGCTTCCCCCCACCCTTGTTTAGCTGATTTAACCCCAAGTCTAGTTCAGGGGGAAAAGTGATCCTTAACAGTTAATTTCATGCTTTTATGTGTAAAATGTTAATATGATGAACATATTATGCAACAATGTTATGATCATGGAGCTTTCAAACAAGCTGCAAAATAATCTTTGTGGGGGTGGGGAATTAGCAAAGCTCTGATAGGGTTAGAAGTTTAGTATTTGAATCACGACTTTCACATACCAGCAAGGAAGTTTTCTCCTCATAATGCCACTGAAATTGTGCCTCTTCTGGGCTTTTGTTCTTATCTACAGCATTACTTGGAAGCCAAGAAACACATTTCTTTCCAAAGCATTCGTACATCCATTGCTTCAGTGGTGCTGAAAATTGAGAATTGATTTTACCAGTTGGACTTGCTAATTAATATTGAAGGACATCTGTCTTACCCTTTTATTCCCCTTCCTTGCCCCAATTCCTTACATGTGGTTTCAGCATTAATAACACTTAGTGCTAATGCTTATCAATAATTCAAAACCAGTTCTATAAAAATGTCAAAGTAAGTTCAATTATTTCTCTCTTTCCCCCTTCTAAGGTGATTGTGGTACTTTTAGCACCATTTATTTTGTTTCAATCTTGTTATTTTCAAAAGTTGCAGGCATTTTTGAATTAAAGGATAGTATAGAAATATATGAAAAGTAGAATATCAAGTATTGTATAACAAAATCCAAGAAAGTTTTAGATGCTACTGCTGGGACGATGATTGTCAATAAGATTGAAAAGTGCTCCATGTTATCATAAAAGACTTCAAATTTCTGTTACCTGTTAGTGAGATCGAGAATATCTTGATCTGTTTAGTTACCTTCTGCTTAGGGTAGCTAAATTGACTGAGTTGAAGGGGAAAAACACCTTGAGGCTTAAGGGCTAACCCTAACCTAAATGATATGTTTTAGGTTAAACCATCAAATTATAGCCTACTATTATAATTTAATTTTGGCCCAGTATGTCAGGGCTCCGGCAGTTACCCCCATTTAAATCATGAGTCTCTAGCTAACTTCCAGAACCTGAAGATTTATTAGGAGTAAACATGCCGGCGCTGCCTGGGTGTAGCCGACTCTGAGTCACTTCATTCATTGTCACCCGTGACCCTGGTTTTCCCCCACCTCCTGGGTGTATCATAATTCATATTCTCCAATGGGACACATCCATAGCCAAGAGTCATCAATCATGCTCCCCAGTTAGAATGTTGCACCTAGTTACTATCTTTGAAAACATTTATGGAATGTAGTTTCGGTTTTGCAAGCTGCTACACTGCTCCCCCCTCCCTTTCTGTTGGCAACTCTAAAAGACCAGAGAAATATTTTATGAGTTGACACAGTATGTCATGCAAACTCTGTCATTGTAATACATGTTTGTTTGTTTGTTTTTCATTTATTTATAAAAAATTATAGGCAGCTCATCTTACCTCAAGCTTTTAAGGCCTTCTATTTCATTAGGTTTGACTTCAGCCTTTTAAAAAACTGATTAAAATAGACTTACTGGAAAAATACCACTCACATAGAATAGAGATGCAATTGCCTGTGTGGCTTGGTTCAGATTTGCTTATTTTTATATGTTTAATCAATAACTAATGCTGTCTTTTTGTCATCTAAAGGCAATGGGGGACAGTTTAACAGAAAACTTCGATACTGCTTGTGGGCAGTGCTTTGTATAAAATTTGGAAATCATTTTTAAAAGCTTTGAGAAACTCCCACAAATAAGGTCTACTTGACAAAGAAAATCAAACATTCTGAATTTAAAATTCATATTATTACACAATCATTCCTAAGAAATACACCTCTGTTTATATGTATATGTGATTCTTACCATGTGTTCATATTCTTTTAAATGCTGGATATTCTTAGAGAACAAAGAATAAATCAAAGGAATATTTTCTTCTGCCATTTTTTTTAATATGAACAGGATTTGACTAGAACCAAGGGTAAATTATTTAAAAGGTGGGAAAAAAATCTCTTTGCATTAATTCACCTTATCAGGTGTTACATGTCTCCACAGTGTATTGCGCAATGCCTTGGGCACAGTTGGACAGTCTTATTGTATATAAAAGTTATATTTCAGACGCATAGCGAACTTTATTGGTTCTCTCTTCACTTTTATGAGGTTCCATTAAAATGAATAGTTTAGACCATTTATTTCCTGGCATTAAAGCAAAAGGGTTTTAACTGTGAGACAGCTCTGGACTTTCTTTGTATTTCATCTAACTGTTTTGTGAGCAGTGTTGGACCTGCTGGAATGGCACAGGCATCAGCAATTTTCCTTTCTCTTTCACATCCTTTCTCTCTGCATCATTTTTCTGGCCTGATTATAGACTCTCCTTTAGCATTTTTTGGACCAAAACCTTAGCAGTACTAAAAAAAAGGGTTTGCTATACTTAAAAATAACCAGCTAATTTCATGGTAGTTGGATTGTACTTGCAGAGGGTCTGGAGGAAAAGCTTTTTGAAGATTGTAATGATCACACTTGAGAGAGGCAGAGGCAGAGTGGGACAGGCAGCCCATTCTAGCCCTTCATGGTCTCTCAGAAAATTGCAGTATTATTTAACATTATATTCTTCTGGTCTGATTGCAGAATATGGGAGACATGGTATTATAGTAGTTCTCTTTTGTTTCCTGGTCCTAGCCACTGTTGGATTAGGGGGGATGGTTGAGTCCAATGCTCCTGAACACCAATGCCCTTTGAGATGTCTTAGGACCCAATGCTCTATTTCCCTCCTCCCTCAATTTAATATATACATGAGACTGATGTGTCAAGTCATCCAACACAATTTTTCCCACTTCTGTGAGCACTATATCTGTTGTTCTTTACCACTAACAGCTGGCTGACATTTTCTCCATACAGAGGCCGCTTGGGCCAGAACTTTAGAAATGAAACTTTACTTAACACTTTCCATCATTTATTAGGTTTTCTGTACCAAGGTTTATACATTGCCAAGAATGCAGCTGCTGTGTGATAAAGTCTCTATCTAGAAGTTTGTATTACTGTATTAACATTTGATGTGCTTAGGGTCCATTGCCATAGCCTTTGGTGAATTATGCAGTTGTATCCCTTGTACATTATGGAAGGAGAGAAATGCAAGTGAATATTCAGAAATTCCTGCATGTAAATCAGAATGCAAATCAGATATTCAGTTACACATTACAAGCATCCCTTTAAAAAAAACAACTCCTCTAAATATGACAGAGAGAGATGGAAGTGAAACAAGCAGTGTGGCCTTTGTTGCAGTCTTTGAATGCCTTTTTTCTTTTTCACTTTGTTTTTATTACTCCCTTGGTGCAGGGCTGCTGCACAAGGTCTTTCTCTTAGCTTAATGGAACGGCTGATTCAGAAATGCGGGGACCGTGTTGTGAAGATGCTCACTGTGCAGTACCGAATGCACCAAGCCATAATGCAATGGGCTTCCACTGAGATGTATGACGGCCATCTCTCAGCTCACTGTTCTGTCGCACAACATTTACTGAAGTAAGTGATCGATGGCTTACTTGCTTTCTTTTCTTCCTGTTCAAATTAAGTTAGATTGATGCTGTCTTTTAATATTTAAAGCTAATGCAGACTTCTCCTGGCTGCACTAAATCTTTTCTTCTGGTTCTGTTCTAGCAAATAGCCTTTTGCCCCATTTTCAACTGGCAAATAGCTGATTTCTGCACTGAAGGTTACAGCTTGCAAGTTTTTTTCAACAGCTGAAGACATGTTATAGACTTGAAATTGTTGTCACTGTTGGCCCAGCAGCTATCACGTGGTTTGACTTGCTAATAACTCTTCCAGAAAATCCCAAGTTTTATTGAAAGTTGGAAAAGAAATAGCTTCCTATTTCTCTTCTTTGCCTCGACTCTTGATTCTTTCCTTTTCTAGAGATCATCCTGTGGTATCTGAAAATAAACAAAACTTCCAGCTAGAAAGGGAAGGGAGTGGGATATCACGCTGTTTAAAAGAGAACTAGTTTCAATCCTGACACTGTCTGGCTGTTGGTTGACTCTTAGGTAAACACAAAGGAGTTTGCCTATTCATTACAGTGATATTCCTGACTCATTCACTCATTCAAGTCAAAGCATCACCAAAAGTGCAAGAAGAAAAGCAACAGAGATGCTGGGGTTCACATCTATATGGGTTTTGGGCCCTAGGTATGTCTTGAAGGAGAGGTCCCCACTTTGGGACCTCACTTGATTTCTAAAAATTTAATCATTCAAAGTTTACCGTATTTATGGTCCAAGAGCAAACACCAGGAGAAAGAACAGCAGTACAATTCATATTATAAAATAATTTTAAAAATTGCAAGAAAATCCTGAAACAATTAATACCCAGTAATAAATAACATGATGGGGAGGAACCAGATGGTTTCTAAGAGTTGTATCTATTGATAGAAATTTTGAAAATTTCTTACAGATTTCGAGGTCACAAAAAGAAGGTTCATGGTTTCTTGATCGCAATGGCAATGTCATCAGGAAATATTAAGTTCTATCATCCTTGGGTATACAGTGGACATTTTACTAGAAAATGTGAAAGATTCTATCTCCATTCTGAAAACAATTATGGCTTTCATGTCTGCCAGTTTTTGCTCTAATAGCTAATGCCCAATCAGGCTGTTTTATGAGGGCCACATAGTACTTTGAAGAAATATCTAGGGATAGTTCAGAAAAGAGAGACAATTGTGTGGTCACTAATATGCCTTCTTAGGATGACAGAGAACCTATCTAGCATGGTGAGATGGACCAAGCAATTTCCTTCCTAAGCTCCCTTCAGCCAAAGCCTAGGACAAGAAAATTGGGCCCAAGGGAAATGCAGCCAAGTTCCAGGGAAACTGCAACATAAGAAATTGGACAAGGGACTTGCAATAAGGTTGTTTTTTTTAATTTGACTGAATTGCTTTTAAGCTAGAAGACTCCTTGTAGGTACATCTGAGCACTATATAGCATCATGCTCGGAACTTTAATTTTAAATAGTTTAATAGCTTCTGAGAGATCATTGTTTCCAGGTAGATCTGCAAATTTAGTAATTGCAAGGGATACCTTTTGGAGTCTTGGTAGTAGCTCTCTTGTGTGAATAGACTTGCAAGAAGAAGATTGAAAATAGACATCTAGATACTTAAAAAATTTAACCTGCTTGATAAGTTTGCTGCTAACCATCCAATTGGAGCTTTAAGGTGTCTTTGAGGGTCTACTTGGTTTAAAGCAGAGTGTCAAACTCAAGGCCCACAGTACTTAGATCCGGCCAGTGAGGCTGCGCTGGAAACAGTGAAGGACCGGCCTGTGGTGCCTCTGCCAGTGAAAATGAAGCTCAGTTGCAGGAGCTCTGTTTTCACTGGCAGAGGGTTGCAGGAGGTGGCGCGGCCCACCCAAGCTCCATTTTCGCTGGCAGAGGGTTGCAGGAGGCCATCCCAGGCAAAATACAGAGGGTTGCAGGAGAGGGTTGCGGAGGACCTGAGAGGAACGGTGAGGCTCCTCTGGAGGACAAGGGTTTGGCACCTTCCCTGGTCTCACTTTCCTCTGCTGGAGACAATGGATCCCCCCCCCAGCCCCGCTCAGGCCACCACAGGCACCCCTGACACAAGTTGAGCTGGCCATGCCTACCCCAGCAACACCCACCTGCCCCCCCCCCAAGGTCAAACACAACCCTGATGCAGCCCTCACTGAAATCAAATTTGACACCCCTGAATTAGAGAGTAGGACTTCACCTTCACCATAAAGAAGAATAGAGAATTGGTGATGGGCAAGGCGGGGTGGATGGCAGACTCTTAACAATATTATTAAAGTAAAAATTGAACAGTAGTGAGGAAGAATATAGTCTTGTTTAACATCTTGTAAGTAGAGACACATTTAATTAAGTTGTCAGTAAAATTGCCCTTAACTTGAATAGTAATTCAATAACATTATTAGTTTAAGAAGATGGTGTTGTAGTAACTAATTTCTTTAGAGTTTTTCTCATGGTTTAGAGTAAAAAGCTTCCCTCAAATCTATGAGAGCTACATAGAGGGTATCCTTAGATTGATTACAGTATTTTTCAGCTAAATGAAGTAAAATGATACATTGGTTCATGGCTGTGTGAACATCCAATATTTAGAAAGACCAAGATTGAAAAAGTTTTGGAATATGACACTATTGTACCTTGTAATAATCCATTTCCTCGTTTGTTAGAAACAGAGAATCTTTTCTGCCATGAACCAATGTATCATTTACAGTTGTGTAAATAGGGATTGGGACTTTATAGCTCCTAAAATATAAAGCCAGGTCACAAAAGGAAAGCTTTGGGGGTTTTTTAAAGAAGAGTAGGTACAATTCAGGGAACATTTTCATCTAGATGGTGTGGAAAGGAAATTGTATCAGAGATTTAGATCACCAAGAAAGTAATTTCAGTACATAATATTGATGGCCAATGAAGTGAAATACAGTACTTTCTAAAATCTGTGAAAGAAATTGTCAACTATAAAAATGAGTTGCTGCTTTGAGAGGAGGAAGATATTTGTGTCATAAGTAGGGTCTGATGTTGCTGATAGAAGAAAGCTCCATAAATTTTTGCTGCCTTCGCTGAGCTCCATGAAAATCTCTTGACCTGAAATATTCTGATTCCATCTTTCTAATCACTAGGTTTTTAGAAAAAACAAGATGGGAGATAAAAAGACTTTGGAAAACGATTCAAATCAAATTGTACAGAGGGGGTTCTAAGCAGAGTTATTAATCACACTCTGCCCCTCTCCCCAACAATGTGCTTGGTTTTAGCTTTACTATGTTCAAAGAATCATGCACAATTGCAGTTTAATATCCATTTCAGGAAATGTATAAATAATTCCAACTCGATTCAGCAGAACGATAGGTACATTATTCTGAAATATGTACCATCATATTCCATAAGCATATTCCCAGCAAAATTTTGAACAACACTTAACACTAGTTCAATTGCATCTTTGCTTTCAGTTTTTTGAATACGTGGGAAAGCGCATTATTTGCTTTTGTTATCATTTTAGTCTGTTAGTTGCTACTCTCTGAAAAATGAAAGGGCCTAATCTTGTTGCAAAGATTTTTACAATTGTTGCATCCCTTTCATGCTGCTTTTTTGTGAGCTGCCAAACCTACTTGTAATAAATCCATTTAACATGGCAATAATTTAAAAAATGCTATCCATTATTAAAAAGTATCTCAGCCATGATAACTGTTGGTTTAATGTCCACATTTAGTTTGTGTTTTGGGTTGTAAAGAATACATCTTGGAATGTAAGCAGTCCAAGGAAGTCCTAGATACCGTAGTGACAGACAGGCCAATGTCTATGTACATTCTTCACTGATTAAAATTGAAAATATGCCCCTATTAAAACCTCCAGAAGCCTGCAAGTCACATGCTAACCAAGTAGACCATGAATATCGGAATTCTAAATGTTTCCAATATATATTCCAATTCAAAATCTTGACTCAAAATTAGATTAGCAGATTAAAAGGACCCAATGAAATGTATTTTTTTCTGAAAAGCTGTTTTCTATATCCTCCAGTTTTGTGTACTATTTCTCTTTTGCATTCCTTAATAACTGCTGATGGTACAGTGAGAATTGGTTTGCTATCCCAGTAGCTTTAATCTCATAAAGACTCATAAATTTTGAAGGGAGAGTTATTTGACATAAAGATTCTTTTGGCATGATTTTCTCTGCAGATGGAATTATTTTAAAAGAACAAAAATGGAGTTGAAAAAAGAGTATAAGTAGAGAAGAACAAAAGCTTCAGTAACCTGCTGGCATTGTCTCTGTATATGTGAGAGACCAGCTCTGCATCTGAGGCCTTGCAGTAGAATAATGGATAATGCTGAAATATTTGTTTGTTTGTTTTTTAAATCAGTACAGTAATTGCTTACTTCTCCATCCAGAACAAAGAATTGGTCTTTGGGGAAATGCTACTAGGAACAACTTGCAAATGCAGTTTTGAACAAATTATGTCCATTAAACTTAACATTATAGTTGGAGATCTTCAAGGAAGACTGCTTCAGTGCATATTCATGCTGACAAACTCTATCCTTTTCGGTTGGTGGGAGGCTTGTGGTCATTTCCACTTTTAGCTTACAACTTTTTTTCTTATTATGTAGACCAACAAACAGTACTGAATAGTAACTAGAGTTTAAAACATGTTAACTTTAAGCTACGGTTTCTGAAAGTACTTTGAACCAGTACAATTGAACCAATACAATTAATATTCATCACAGTTCTTGGGCAATCCAAAATTGTAACTTGGTTATTTAATACTTAAAAACTTAATACATTTAATACTTAATAATGGGAGCAACAACTTCTTAATTTGGAGAAGGGGTTTGATACAACTCTAAGTCCTTCACGTGCCTATAGAAAATTTCTTCATAGCTGTGACAAGACCTATTTGTATTACCCCTGTTTGTCTATATACTGGCAAATATAAATACACTTGCAAGTATAAATTGCTTTGACATTTGACAAACAAAACTTAATGTCAAGGGAAAGATAATGGTGCCAGAAGGAGCTGGACTACCTAACTTGCAGGTTTAATGGGAATCGGGTCCCCTGGAGTCATTGATGGGAGAGAAGGTAAACCTCCCTTTTACATCTTTGTATTTTCCTTTGCATCCCCCTCAATTATATCTGATCATGTGTCATTATGATCTTACGTTCTGAGTCCTTTCTTATCAATAGCTTCTGTATGTGACCAAGGTTTTAAAAATTGAATCATACTTCAAATCCTATCCATCCTTGAATCCCTTAAAAATTATTTTCATGGGTTTGCTCAGAGATTAGATATATAAGGAACAACTGTAGTTCTGTAATGTTGATGATTAATATGGCTCTTCTAAGTACAAACAACATCTTTTTACGGTTATTAGACCCACAGAGTGTATCTTTTCCTAATATCACAGCTGTCACATTACTGTCTCCAGCAATAAATCAAGGCACACTTCTTTTGTCTCTGAGCAAAGGAAGTAGTTGTGTTCTGTGAAAGCTTTCATCTATAATTGTATTCTTTGCTTTCATTGAAAACAAATTTTAACTGCCCTGTTCTGTAATTTGCTTGATATATGTGTAGAAGCAATGCTACTGTTAAACAGGAGCACCATATGTGCTAATTTGTGTTCCCATCAGGCCGTATGTATTTTTTGTTTCCACATAGTAACTAAGAATAAGTTCTAAGATCTCATAGTTGCAAAGAGAGAATAAAATAAGCTTACAGCTTTTTGCAAAAGTGATTTGTGTCATTCTTTTTAATAATTGAACAGAGACTTGCCAGGAGTGGCCCCCACAGAAGACACTAGTATCCCATTGTTGCTTATAGATACAGCTGGTTGTGGCTTATTTGAACTTGAAGTGGAAGAAGAACAATCTAGAGGAAACCCAGGTACCATCATTTACTCTGCTTCATGATTTTTGTTTCCTGAGTAGCATCTTTCCACCCCACCCCATCCCCCAAAAAACCCTGCCCCTTCAATTTATATTACCTGTGTAGCTGATACTAGGTAAAAAAGTTTCTTTGTACCAGAAAAGTATGGTAACATTTGAGTTATTGACTAATATTATACCCACGATCACAGGTACAACTCTTGTGGAAATTGTTCAATATGTCTGGAAATTTCTTGCATGTCATGCTTGAATTACATATCCTTGAAGCAGATCAATAGCCTGTTTAAATTAGCCATGGCTTCCAAAGCTGTTTTTAGAGTTTTGTTTCTAGATGGGGTAGGGATAACTATGAAATAGTTATAGTTAATTTCATAGTTAACTATGAAATAAATAAATTTTGACATACCAAAAACTATATCACATTGTACTATAGTATAACTAATGAGTCGATATAAAACATACAGTAGAGCAAGAAAGAGACAGGAGGCAGTTGTGACTACAAGGAGCAAAATCCTAAATATAATTTTATTTCATAGGTTTGAACGTTCTACCCTATAGTTAAGAATTACAGAATTTTAAATTGGGCTTCCGGTTAGCCTGAAAAATTAGAAATCAATATTGCAATGAAATGACTGTACATGCACACAGGATTGAAGCAGCTTGCAAAACTGGCATGAGACCTGTAAAAAGGAGTTGCTTTAATAGCTCAGAAAGAGAACTTTCCTACGCATTCCCATGAATTAAGTGAATGAAACCTAGTCTTGGTGGAACAAAAGGCTACCAAACTGGTAGAAACCATGCTCGTAGGTTGTAGGTGGAAATAAATTGTGGTGGGTTATAGCTTGGAAATTTTATGAGAATAAAGAATGCATGCCAAAACTGAGTAACAAACAGTATGCATTTTAGAAGCTGTTCATACTCATGTTTGTTCTGACATGCCACTGTTTTTCTGGCATCTATTTTTTTTTCCTGTTTTTTGCCACTGCCCACTGTTTTTCCTGGCATCTACTTTTTACCATATGTACATAGGGTTGCACACTAAAATGTCTCATGTGAGCATTGATGCATAAGTGAATGTCAAATGGTCTGCAGTTTTGCCACTTTTTAAACAGAAAAGTTCTGAAAAGTTATAGTAATGTAGTCCATATCTGTCTCATTAGATACATTCAAGGATACTTTTTTATATGCAGGAACATTTGATTCTCTGACCTTGAATAAGGCTGCTTATATAAGTTTAAAATAATGTCACGTTTTTGAGCAATTCTGCAGAATGGATTAATCTGCTAGGAGAATCTTTATAACATATTGATTTCTTGCCTGTTTAAAACACAAAAGGGATCAGATCTTTTTTAGAATCATGAAACTGAATAATAAACATGAACAATATGGGAAAGTGTTTATTGTTCTTTTAACTAGAGGAAAAATAGCTGGTGATGGGGAAGAAAAATCCCCATGTATAAATCTTATTATATGAAAGAACTGGGAAGGGGGTGGTGGAGAATTTTAAATTCTCCAGATACTGTTAAATTCCATTTTGATTTAATAGGGATGGGGGATGGTGGGAGTTGTTGTCTGTTACCTTCTGGATCACCACATGAAATAATTAAAAAATAACCACCTGGGTGAGCACAGTTTTCTTACCCCTACCCTCAAATACAAAGCTCAAATACATAGTTGTGATGACATTCTGAATCAGGGGTCTCCAAACTTGGCAACTATAAGACTTGTGGACTTCAATACTGGCTGAGGCATTCTGGGAGTTGAAGTTCACAAGTCTTAAAGTTGCCAAGTTTGGAGACCTCTGTTCTAAATAATAGGTAGGAGTAGAGGCTCCCATGGCCAGGTGAAAAGCCCAGACCAATCTACTGGTCTCTAGCAAGACAACTTACATCTTGGTAACAGCTGGGCAAATTGTATGGACAGGTACCAGCAATGCTTGTCACATCTTGCAGCTGAAGTTTAAATATCTTTCTAGATACGGCACAATTGGCTCTGAAGCAACAGGAAAGATATCAACTCTCAGCCAGGAATATTGAACTGGCTTCATATCCATTCTGTTTGTGGCACAGCAGAATTGAGAGAGCTTTCACTTTTTAACTCTTTGGGCACACATCACACTTTGGCCAGTTTTGAGCAAACCAAGGCACAAACCTCTGCAGTTAATAAGAATGGTTACAGGTGCATCAAGAACTAAAGAGAATTTGGGAAATATCATTTAAAAGGCATAAGTCTTAGAATCCATGTTTCTGAATAATTTTTAGTGACCTTTTTCAAAACAACAATATGGCTATGTGATTTGTTTCATGCTTAGAAGGAGGATATGTCCAATGCTCAAACTTTGAGTAAGACTTTCTTAGTAAATAGTAGACCTTGCTTTATGGAACCTTGCCCTCTTTGGGTTTCAGAAAGCCTATCAGAATGATTTTACATTAGCAGGCCTTTGCACTCTGGAGTTTCTGGCACATATCTATTTTATTTGCCTTTATGATGTTTCCTTGCTATAATTTCAGTTTGGTTTTCTAGGTAGGAAATACTCATTCGCTATTAGTTTGTTAAGGTGCACTTCCCAGAGTCATGTAAACTGGGGCAGTTTATAAACACTGCAAATAAATAAAGTAGCTTTTAAAAATGTTATCTTGTTTACAGTGTACAGTATATGACACATGTGAGTGAGGATCATTTTATGTTTTAGCGTGTACATACACCCTTGCTAAATGTACCAAGGAACAAACAATTGTGGACAGCTCTTCTCTCATGTGATAACCAGCAAGAGCCTGGTGAATGAATAAATGGAACAAAAGAATGTTTCTTGGTTTGCCATATGCCCAACCACAGATCATCATCTCTAAATCAAGAACATTAATCTTTAGCAAGGTGACCTTATGGCATAGCTGCTGTGTAAGGAAAATGGCAGTTCTTAAGCAGTGGAGAAGCCACATAATGAAAAAAAACTTTATTTTCTTTTGGCTTCCTACAATCTTTTAATTCTTAGCAAATAAATCTGTGCTTATATTCTAGATGATTATACACACTGTGCTGGTTTTTCTTTTATTTAGAATGTGAAGTGAAGTTTAAAGGTTGGTTTGGTTTTCTAATTGAACCTGCCTGCCTGCTTCTTCAACATTAAAGTTGCTTGTTCCCTGTTCCTAGGTGAGGTGCAGCTTACCAGTTTGCATATAGAAGCTTTGATGGAAGCTGGTGTGAAAGCCAAAGATGTAGCTGTCATTGCTCCTTACAATCTTCAGGTCAGTGCATCCACTGCCGTATACTAAGAAACATGTCATATTGAATAAAAATTGAGAACTAAGTACAAAACAATAGAAGGAAATATGCTAGCATTGATGATGTTATCTAGTTTGGTAATGAAATGTCTGAAAGAAAACCACCCAGTTCAGAGAGCATCAGTGACCCCACACACTAAGTACAAAAGAAAATGAAACTGATTTGAATCTTCAGGGACCTAAATTACACTCAATGATAAATTCAGTGAAGTAGAGACAGAACTTTATTCTATTTTCTTGACCTCTGTGGACTTAACACGCTCTGTGTGCTGTTTGGTGTAGACCTAGCAACTGCTTCCAGCATCTTCTGGTCTACAGTAACATAGGAAGATCCCCATTCCTCCCTCCAGGCTGTAGGTCCTACTTCACCAGTTCAGAATTAGTAGAATGAACATCAAATATAGCTTTTTGTTCCTTTTTCTAGGGAGCAGTCTACCTGCTCAGACAGAAGATGCTTAATTTCTTTTGGAAGCAGAGGACTTTTTTCAGTAAGATGGCATTCATTTCCTGTGGCAATAAGTGCTTTGTTTTTCAGGTCGACATGCTAAGAAAACATCTGTATCAGAAGTATCCACAACTGGAGATTAAATCAGTAGATGGCTTCCAAGGAAGAGAAAAGGAGGCAGTTGTTTTTTCTTTTGTAAGATCCAATCGAAAAGGTAAATCGGTCATAATTTAGAGCCATGCAGAATGAAAGCAAGGAATTTCCAAGAAGGAATTTCCAAGAAGCACTGATGCTTCTGCATGTTGCTACGGTAGTGATTGATTCATGATTCTGACTATGGAATTAAAAAGAACATTATGATTTCCTATATAATTCTTTTTAAAAAGAGACCAGAATGGGGAATAGTAAAAAAATGATAAAATAATTGAGTCAATCTTTTTGGTAATTAAAATGATAAAATAATTGAGTCAATCTTTTTGGTAATGATGGTGACTGTTGTTCAGTTTAAAATGTCTATCTTGAAGCACACGTGAATCATAACTATTGAGATGTCTGTGAATGTAAGTAAAAATCTGTTTCTAAAGTCTGTAAATATTTTTCTTCTTTCCCATTATAACAGTGGAGCATGATGTGGAGAGGGATTTCTTCTCCCCTTCATATGGTTGCTGGAGAGAAAAATCCCCCCGCCCTCCCATTTATGGATTAAAATAGATAAGCAAATTGTGGTTCATTGTTGTCTGTGTATTATGTCTTCTGATATGATTTTGACACTTGGTAATTACTTCCCAGGTTAGGCTTCTCAAGCACAAATTGGTGACTCACGTATTTTAATGTGCCCTTTAATGTTTATTTTTCCATTTGTCTTCTGCCTAGCTCCTTATATGAGACTCAACCCCATCGGTTATGTAGTTGACTCATCTTGGCATTTGCTATCTGTTATTATAAAGTCTAAAAAAACCTGGAGAATCAGAAATAACTTCTATAAAAGGCTTTGTCATTTCTAGCTATTTATTCAATCTTGGATGCTGCTTTTTTTTAAAGATTATGCTGAATATTTTTCTGACCTTTATCAGGCTTGTTAATAATTAGAAATGAGCAAAACGCATTTGCAATACTTCAAGAAAACTTCCTCCCGTTAAATTCTGCTTGTTAGATACAGCTCCAATCTCAGAGCAGTTCTATTATGGACACAAATTTTATAACTCTTATTTAATCAACATCAACAATCCATACACTTTTCCTCCCAGTTGTGAAACAAAATGAACACTTGAACGTCTTTCTGAAGTCATATCAAATGCTTAAATTTCTTATTTTTCTAGCTCCTGGCTGTTTCTTGAATTTTGCTTTCCTTATTTAAAAGTAAAATGGGTTGAAACTGGATTTCTCAGAAACATATATTAAAATAATATTGCAACCTACCCAATGCTTCAGTGTTCATTGGACCTTCCATGCCCAAATTTCAAGCAGATTGATATACTGTATTCCCCTGAAATGAAAATAAACTTGAATTGAAGCATTTCTTCTCTCCCTTACTTTTACTTATCAAAAAAACTAGGGAGGGCCTTCTGAGATCCTTCGAACCCCTCTTTTCCTTCTGTGGGTTGAGATACCTGTAGCATGATGGTTGTCCAGGCTGAGGCTTTCCCTTCTGTCCATGAGGTCATTCCCACATATTGGTCTACAAGACAAGTTATCAATCTGTCAAAATGATGCCCATAAACACTGTCAAATGCATCTGATCTTTGTCATACACTCGATTAGGTGTGGTTTTGGGTGATTATGAGGTTTGGCTACATATATTTTGTACTTTGAAGTCTGTCACTATGAGCATTCAGTTTGAAATTAGGCACCAGCAATGACACTCCCACCTCAGATTTCATAGTTTTACAATCATGATAATTAAGTTATAGTATGACTGTTGAAATCTTCATGGGATCTGCTTATGCAGGTCCTTGGTGCTGAAAATGTGTTTGGATTTGTTTGTAAATAAATAAATTTGTGCCTGTGCTCTGTTCATATGTTCAATCCATTTTAGAAATGCCATTCTTGGGCAATAGTTTAGATAATTATAGAAAGAAGCAATCTACTTCACTGAATCCCATGGAGTTCAGTCTAACTTGCTTCTGAGGAAATATGCTTGCAATAAAACTGCCTCTATTATCATTACTTTACATGGTCTGCAAAGCTCTGCAACCTGACTTACTGTTTTTATGATGTGTAGGTGAAGTGGGATTCCTCGCCGAAGACAGGAGAATAAATGTTGCAATTACCCGGGCCCGACGTCATGTGGCTGTAATCTGTGACTCTCGAACCGTTAGCAGCCATAGTTTTCTTAAACGACTGATGGAGTATATGAACACCCATGGAGAGGTGCGCACAGCCTTTGAATACCTGGATGACATTGTACCCGGAAACTACACTCCCAAGAATTCTCTGGGTCCCCATAACCAGGAAAAGAGACTTAAATGCAGCAGTGCCCCAGTCCCAAAGGCTCTTGGAGGGAAACCAAAAGGAAGACCGGCCCCAAGGCCTAGAGAGAGGCTAACAGAATGTTCCCTGGAAAACACGGGCAAAGTCACAACATCAGAAACCAAAGAGAATGAAAACTCATGTAAATATAAAGCAAAAATATTGGAGTTTCTGGACAGTGGTGAGGCCCAACTGGATTTCCCTTCCTCTTTAAACGCTCACGATAGAATGCTTATCCATCAGTTGGCTGAAGAATACGGGCTGCAGCACTTGAGCACCGGAGAAGGCAGCGCACGGCACATAAGTATTCATAGGAGAGATTCTCCCAGAGAATTATCTTTGGGAGATACTGTGGTTTGTCAAGCTGAATTAATTCAGGGCTGTCCAAAAGAAATAGATGCAGGCAATGAAGAGAGGGAGAGCGGTGCTGGCCCAGGGGCCACAGATCTAAAAACATTGCATGCCGAACGGATGAAAAGAGAGAGAGATAAGAAAGAAGAGAGAGTGAAACAAAGCCGAGAATCTAATGTAAATCTTCGGGAAGTAATTGGGAAGAAAGAAAAAAACACTGGAGGTGAGGAAGCCATTTTTAAAACTTTAAAAGATACCCCTTTCGTTCTTTTTCAATCTGCTGGGAATTAATCTGTTTATCCTGTTTTTCTTTGTAATCCCTATTTAGATTCTCTCCTGACAAAGGTAGTGTATCCTTTGAGGAAATTTTAAACCAAAACGCAGCCAGTAGAATTCTCTGCTTTAAATATCAAGCCTCCTGTTTTTATACTGTGCTTACAGAAGGAGTTGCTAGAATTAGCAGGCTTACTTTTAAAACACCACTATTTTTGAGAGCAGCCACAAGTTTCAGATCTAGGAAGCACAGTGCATTTTCCACAAATAGGCTTCTTTTGAAAATGTCAGCCAAACATTTGTCCTGGCTTTTGGAAATACATGGATTTTCCCCAAAACCAGTATCTCTGAAATTATCAGAACAGATGACCTAGGGCAGACATGGGCTTGCTTTGTGCAGTTGGGTTATTGCTTAGAACATTTTGAGGAGACAAAGTACAGATCCTTTGCTGACACCCAGCTGAGGCAGACTACATGAATATCCTCTAACATACTCTAGTTATCTTTCTCAGATCTTTATGTTCGCATAGAGGCTAAACATGAGCTTGTCAATACAAATGGGGAAAAAATGGTATCAATAGAAAAAAAAAAACCTTTGCTTTGCTAGGAGGGTGTGTGTGCACAAGCCCCCGAGTATTTGCACTTACTAAAATGAAACCATTGAATGTGTGCATAGATACCTTCTGAAATTCACATCCTCCCAGATTTCGAAAGAAGAAGAAAATCTCCTCTGGTGCATTGATAAGACTGCTATAAAATACAGAGACAATTGGATTTCTTGGGCATGGGAATAAACCTGTGTCCAGGCAGTGCCTTTGGTTTTGATCTAAAATCAAGAGTGTGGCCCCTAATTTTTGAATCAGTAACATTTTCTGGAGCAGCCTTCTCAAACTATGACAACCCTCCAGATGTATGGTTTTCTACTGTCAGCAGCCCTAACTTTAATCTCTCTTCCTTCTTTAAAAGTGGTCTCTAAAAGAGTTTCTAATTAAGTTGGGCAGCTTCAGCTGAGCTAGTCTCAGGCAGTTTGTCTTCATATCCACAAGCCAATGGGGTGTCTCCTCTAAGAGCACCAGACACTGCCCATTTCAGATTGAGCTATGAGGATGGTCTGGCACCTGAGTAGAAGAAGAGTGTCTTTGTTTTTAACCGTATTTTATGGATTGCGGTGAGCCACCTTGAGACATTGTCTGAAATAGGCAGCCATGTTAAGTCCTATAAACAAAAAGATAAATAAATCTCATTATTGCCACTCCGTTATCATGCTTTGCTGACTCTTATTTGCCCACTTTATCTTATTGACTCCTTTTGAAGTAGAAGTTAGTGCTTTCTGTTGACCATCTGGTCACACAGGACCAGCATCCTGCCTGTTTGATATGTTGCTGATTCTCGCTGTGGAAATAATCAAACTGTCTACTCTATGGAGATTCTCAGTCATCCAGATCATGGTTGTCCCAAATATGTTTTTTTCAAGAGGCAACCGGGCTTTCTTGCTTTTCTTTGAAAACACTTTGCTTCTTGGATGAGAAGCGAAACGTCTTCAAAGAAAAACCAGAAAAACCAGTTGCCTCTGAGAAAAAGCACATTGGGGAAAATCATCAAACTCTTGATCAACACAGCTGTGCCTTTTTATGTCCATAATAAAGTCTTTGTGTGCAATCCTTTTGTTACTGCTCTCTAATTATTTTACGCCCTTATACTTATTTAGGAAAGGCATCCAGAAAATCCAAGAAGGAAATTGCAGCCGACGAAGATTTTGATTCTATGATCTCTGCAGCAATTAAAGCGGACAATACATGTGGTTTCTCCAAATGCAAAGCCAGCGTAACAACCCTGGGACAGCTCTGCCAGCATTGCAACAGACGCTACTGTCTCACCCACCATATCCCAGAGGTACGCTTTGGTCTCTCCTCTCAGGCAGATAAAACATGTCCATTTTCTCGCCTCTCCAACCCAGGTTTTCATAGTTAAATGTAATTTTCAGGTGAAATTGAGATGCCATTTTTTAAAGTATTCAATGTAGTTGACTTTTCAAGGAACCTCATCGTAATAAAGGCTGTTCAATATAGGCAAATCCATTGGAGGGTAACTTTCCCCCATTTATCTTAACTTGCAATTTAATATATACATGGGCATATACAGGCAGACGTATTCTTGTGAAAAAAAATCTTTAGAAAGGTAAAGATGGGAGTTCGACCTTATGAAAGTAATGTAGCATAATAAAATACACTGGGCATAATTCACAAAAGAAATTGAAGCTATAGTTGCCTCCAGTTTAATTTCCCAATGACTGGAAATGCATCCCCTGCTGTGCAATCATGAGGAAAAATGTTGCTCTGCAGGGCTGTTTTTGCTCGTAGTCTTTAGGTTTTAAAAATGAAGTGGGTGTGGGGGTTTTTTTTTGTTCTCCTCTTGCTTTTTTAATGGTTAAGTTATTTTTTTTATGGTGATCTGTACTTTTGAAACATCTTTTTATCTCTTTCTAGTATAAAGAATGATTTTATTTCCTGTTAAAGTGCACAACATTCTTTTTCACTCTCCTTCATTCTTTAAATTTATATATACACATGTACACCTACTACCCTTTCTCTTGATTCTTTAAAATGAATTGGATGAAGAGAATGTGCATCCTTCAATGGAATAACCATTCTAGGCCATTAAAAGGCACTTAACCTTGTGGAGCAAATATCTGTTTTGAATGCTGAAATAATGGGATTTTTCTGTGTCCTTTCCATCAAGCTTCTCAGTCATTCTCTCCTTACCCCAAATCACTTCTTTATTTTAAACTCCCATTCACATTCATTCCCAATAGCCAAATACTTGAAGGAGTCTTATGCTCTGGAACAGGGGTCTCCAATCTTGGCAACTTTAAGACTTGTGGACTTCAACTCCCAGAGTTCCTTAGCCAGCTGGCTGAGGAATTCTGGGAGTTGAGGTCCACAAGTCTTAAAGTTGGCAAGGTTGGAGACCCCTGCTCCAGAAGTCTTATCTCCTCAGAGGTAGACCTTAATGTCCTTTGTATCCATTCAAGGGGTAGCCATGAGTATTCTATAATGTGGAAATGTTTACTTGTATATTGTGGAAATGTTTACTTGTACAACTCTGTCAGGTCTATGCATGTGTTCCACCAATGCAGCATTTTAAATCCTGTCTGACAGGAATAAATTAACACTGATTAACAACGAGGAATGTTTTCGGATATCTTCAGTTGGGCCTGATTTATTTGAAATAATTGATCATAGGTTCTTTTAATCTCATGGGAAAAGTGTTGTATCTAGTTACTAGAACATTTTGATCCAAAAGATAAGTATATACAGAAAAAAGTCTGCAAAGTTTGGGTTGTCACCAAAACTGAAAAGCAGGCCAAGAAGAGTGATTTTTTTTATGGACTAACTATATTTATGCTAGAACAACTATGAATCTTAAAGCAAGCTTCAGTCAAGAACAAATTGAATTGTGCAATTCATGAATAAAAATATTGGTCTGCAGAGAAACATCCTAAATGTTTGGATGGGCAGAAGTTTGGATTAAAAGATGTACTGTTTATTGAGTGCTCTGTTGATAGGCAACTAAATGAAAGACACTGCTGTAAGCTAAAATAATAGCAGCAGCAACTCCTAAGTAATGGATAGCTTACCAGCTTCCTACATGGGAGTACTTTCACTGCTTTCCTTCATCCTCTGTAGTCACATCAAGGCACCGAGTCAGGTAAAATAGCCTTTCCTATTTGGTTCCCTCCATGTATGCTGGACCAAGTTCACAGACATCTTCTCATGTTTTAAAGGTTACTAGTTTTAACAATTGGTGTTTCAGTATCATTTTATGGTGGGTATGTGGGCAGGTATTTCAAGGTTTTGTTAACTGCCTCACATATTCAACTGAAAGATGAAATAGAATTCATATTACTCAATCCAGTTGGCACCATGGAGATAGCTGACATAGTATTTCTGTCTCTTCACTGATACTCCCACGGCTATTCTCATAGTTCCAGGGACTAGAAAAAGCCCACATTCATATGCAGAAAAAGATATAAATTTTTTCGTCAGGAGCCAGGATAGCTTTCAAAAGCATTACGGGTTTGTTTCATGCTACCTATATACAAGAATCTGATCTATTAATGGTCAGCGCAAATTGGCGCCAGATAAGACCTCAAGGGAGGCTGGAGTTAGATCTCTTTCAGGGGCGTAGGGACTCCAGACTAAGGGTGTGTTTTACACACACACACACACACGCTCAGCCTGGTCATCTCCAATGTCCTACAACCAGTTTAGTATGAACATTTTTTAGTCTCGGTATAGATCATATTATATGTTTCATATATTTTGTAAGTTGACAGAAGACTTAGTATCTTTTATAAAATAAATATAATTCTCCAGATTCTGAAGAATTATGTTTACTATGTCTCATATGAACTTTATCTTAAAGCTAAGCTTACAGCTTAGTGTTACTGACCAGGTCTGACTTAAAGAAGAAAGCTTTTTGAAATATGTAGCCACAAAAGAGTAATTCCTTTTTTTTAAAACTAGAATATCATTGGTAATTTTAAAAGCATTAGAATAGAACCCTTAATGAAAAGCTAGTTTTTTAAAAACACATTCATATTGTTAGTTTAGTAATTTTTGTCTCATACCCTGAATTTGAATAGGTCTCATTTGACAGGGGGAAAGGAAGATTTTATCTTTTTAGAATTTAAGTCATGGAAAAATTCATATGGGCCAGCCCAAATGCTTGATCAATTAAGACAGAACTAATAAATGTGACCATTTTAGTTGTATGCCTGGGTTTGGTCCAGGACAATCCCAGTTTCTGCATTTTCTTCAAATCTTTTACCAGAGTGTTTTATAGTTTCTTGTTGCCCTGGATAAAATCTAGATGTGATATGCTAATTAAAATAAAGCTTTCTGACATAATATAATTACCTGAGTTGATCCACCATATAATCTTATTTTCCAGAAATTCTGCCTGATTCCATCATCACTTACTACTAATAAAACAGACTTCTATCAAAGCATTTTCAGTCTTTATTATAACCTTTATTTTATTAAAGTGCTTAACTTTTCCCTCTAGGTATTTTCTGCTCATATTTTCTCATAATTTTAAGAATTACTGTGCTCAATCTTTCCCCAGATATAAATTATTATTCTTGGCACTTTGTTTCAAACATACTTTTATTTATTCATTCAATTCATGCAATGTATATTGGCCAACTTGCAAACCGTGATTCTGGGTGGCTGACATAAAATGAAAAGAGTCAAACAACAACAACAAATAGTAAAAACAGCAGAGAACGCATCTGAAGCCCCGCATAGTTATTTTCTTAACCAACAAACCAACTAGGTTTTCAAGGCCTTACCAAATTGGGCTGTTTGAATCGCGGGGGTTGCTGTTCCAGAGGTCAGGCCCTGTGACAAACAAGGGCCCACAAGAAAGACATGGAGGGTATCTGAAGTATATCCATTCTGGCTGGGTCTCAGATCAGAAGCAATAGTATCCCCAGAAACCTACATCAACCAGTGCAGCTTGCCAAATTCTATAATGGGCCTATCCTATAAGGCCCCCCCCCACACACACACACCTTTTTTTTTTTTTTCTGGGCTTCCTCAAGCAATTTTCTCTCCGGGTATTGGCCAGGGTGAAGCCTGCCTGCTTCAGTTAGATAAGTGACATTTTGTACTTGCTAGCTGCTCATCGGGCTTTGCCAAGTTGATGGCAAATTGGCATCTAGAGATATCTGTTGTTGTATTTATACAGCTGTGTTGCTGTTGATTTTCTTCCAATCCTCTTCAAAAGCATCTGTCTCTCTCTCTCTCTATATATATATATATATAATGTTGGAGTTTAGAGAATGATGATACAGTTGTATTTTTTCAGACCAAGAAACCAAGTTGCCCAGAAGATGGAATTGAGATTTCCCATCCACTTGTAGAGTTTAAAAAGAAAATACTTAAGCTGCCTGAAAAGATGAATTAATTTCACTTTAGTTTCTTGGGGGGGGGGGGGGGGGGGTTTGATTGCATTTTTTGTTTTGTTTTTGGAATCAAAAGAACGGTCAATGAACAAGTGAACTACTTTATACAGTTTTGTAAAGTTTAGGGCAGATGTATGAAGTAGTGTAACCTCTCATTTTTCTTTTACTAATCCTTTTTGCTACTGGAGTATCTTGATCTCCTGCCTTTGTTTCCCACAGGTTCATGGATGTGGGGAGAAAGCCAAAGCAAATGCCCGGCAGAGAATCAGCAAGGAAGGGATCCTCTATCCTGGGAGTGGGGTGAAGGACAAGTCCTTGGATCCTGCCAAGAGAGCTCACCTCCAGAGATGCTTGGACCAGAAACTCAGCGAACTGTCCAAACAGCGAAAGAGCAAAAGGAAAGACAGAGAGAAATAAGAGGATGCCTGGCTTTGGAGAGGCATTAAAGCCAACAAGCTATCCTTTAAAAGCTTGTTCAACTTTGCAGGAAAAAAAAAAGCTAATAAAAAAAATTGAACACTTGGCCTCCTATTTTTCTTTATAACCAAGAACATGCTTTTGAATGCCGCAGTTCTCAGAGGACACAGCACTGGCTTAAAGTTGCATACTGAAAAACCTTAACCTGGAGATTTAAAAAAAAATGCTCTTGGTGCACCTTATGCTGTAAAATGTGTTTCTCCCTCTTGCCTCAAGGTTATAAAACCCTGTTCTTTTAAGGGGAGAAATGGCAGGCCGCTTTGCTTTTCAATAATTGCTTCAGTTGGCAGTGTAATCAAATACACAGTGAACAGTTAAATAGGCAGCTACGCAATAAAGAGGGATGTTTCGTTAAGAGCGTGAATCAACGAATGTAAGAAACGTAGGGATGCAATGCGTTTGTGGAAGTGATAGGAAGGGAAAGGATGTTGTAGATCTGGATAAAGGTGAACTGATATTGTGGAGTAGAGGTCATTAATGAATATATGTGAGAAAGTGAAGACGTAGATTTAATTATGAAAAACCTGTATGTGTTTGTATGATCAAGAATATTGGTGCATATGCAAGAAGAAATCGATAATTTGATCATAATTTCACGATTCTCTCCATTAATGTTTATATTAGAGCCAAGGATGAGCCTGGGGGAAACCTGTGCATGACCTGAATCAATCTGAGAAAGTGCAGAAAAAATTAGCCTGCTAGTGGATAGGGATGGATGGGTGGGAAAAAGATGAACGAGTGCAATCAAAGTTAAATGGGCTACTTGGGGATCAAAAAATGAATGGGAGCTGTTTTGTGACCATTTACTTGTGCTTTAAATGGTATGTGTTTTTAATATGTATTTTTTTGTAGACATTGAAAAGCAATTCTTTTGTATGGTGATTTTGATTATGATAAAAGACAGGTTTGTGAAGCACACAAAGATAATAGAAGCTTCTGACTGCAAGAGAGGCTATAATAATGACACAAGTGGATCTTGGGGGGTTGGGGAAAATGCAAATAGGAAAAAGGGAAAATAAATGACCGGAAGTAGAATGAGTAAGGGAAAAGTACAAATCCTGAATGAAGAATCATTTGTACGTTAGGTACACTCTCAAGATAATTAATAGAAAGTAGACACAAGCAAGGGGATGTGGACGTTATTTGGAAAAGAATATATATAGTATAAAGTTACAAATGCTACAGAAATATATGCAGTTACACTAATGAGTTTTATAAAGGATGTTTGAATGATAGTGAGTAGGGGTGAACAAAACATTGCATATAAAAGAATGATTGCTGCAAACATTAGGATGAACAAAGTATATTTTATGACGTGTACAGAGAAGAATGTAACAACAAAGAATATGAAACAAAAGGCTGAATTAAGGTAGAGGCAAAGAAAATGCAGAAGTAATTTTCACTGAAGTAAAACATTGTTTTAGAAATAGGTGAAAAACTGAACAAGAAGCATCCAGCAGTGAATGAATTAACCAGTGGAAGAAATATACGTAGCTCCAGGTTGAACTGTGGAGTCCTTGATGTTCTCTGAGGTTGCTTGTTTACTTGCAGACGTTTTAGTTACCAAACTGAATGAATTAAAAATGAAAATGAGAAAACTGAATTGGAATATATACCAAAAGTGAGGAAATAATGAAGTAGGGTTATGGAGATTTATATGGTGATATATTGAAGAGTGGAATTAAGGAAAGGGAAGGGAAAAAAAGAAATGGGCTATCAGTGCAGGTGGAATTACTGAAAAGTTTAAAATATGGATGTAGTTTTATTATGGAGTGTCTGTGACTTCCTTAATACAATTATTTAAAAACTGCTAAAAAGAATGCAAAAAAGTTTTGGTTTGTAAAGCGTCAGTAAAAAGTATATGGCAGATTGTTGACTGAAAATGTACAGAGGTGATAATGAGCAAAATTAGAGAAGAGTCATGCAGCTTTATGTCAGTGACATGTAGACCAGATATTTGCTCCTCAGCAATTAACTGATAAATGTATGAATGTGATGTAGAAACTTTATTAAACATTAGTTGATTTAGAGAAACCAAATGATGTGAATAGACTTGAATTATGAAGTGCTTTGTATAAAATAGTGAAGTTGGTTACTGAATACCATAAAAGCAGTGTATAATGGAACTAAACTATGTGCAAGAATAAATGGTTCAATAGTTGAGTAGAGAGTAAGACAAGGATTGTGATGTCCCATTGTTTACTTAATGTACTTATGGATAAATGTATAAGACTTAGACTATTGGAAGCATATTGGTTGGGAATGTAAATGTGCACTTTTGTTTGTCAAAGGCTGAGAACTAGAATAAAGTGAGGTTAATATCAGGTATATTGTATAATGCAGTAAGGAGTATGAAAATCAATGTACAGTAATATTTTTTTAAAGGTATGAACAATTGCAAGTTAAACATAAATGATAAAAATCTTTGCCAGATGAATGGATTTGTGTGCCCTGATAATTTTCTACAGATGAAAAAAATGGCTGGAGAAATGTTCAGATGTACAAATGTTAATAGAAGAGTAGTGTTAGGAGGAATGAATGTTTTTTTGAAAGAAGCAAAAATGGCTGTGTCTAAGAAGTTGCTTTTGCTCACATTGTTATATGGAGGCGAAGTTGTGTATGTCAGGCAAAGCATAGCACTAAGCTGAATGCAGTTGGAATAGGGTACTTTAATGGTGTATATAGTAAAGCCAGAATCAGAACTCAATCCTGAGAGAGGGATAAATGAATGTAGATGTAATGCAAAAGTGAGTGACAATATGAAATAATTAGATTGAAAGTGATTGGTTATAGGAATAAATGAATGAAAGTAAATGAGGGATTGAGGACTGAATCACAAAACAAATATATGATGGAAAATTAATGGATTATGTAGAAGGGAGTGACTGACAACTTTTCAGTTGAATGACAGAAATGAGAACCTGAGAAAACAGAGGTGAGAAATATAAAGAACAACCTTTTCCTCTCTCCCTTTGTCTTCTACTTACTATTCTTTTCTAGGCTTTGCATAATGCTGCTTATAGCCAAAAGGGATAGTTTGATCATTATGGTCAGATGGATGGATGACTTCCATACGTTCAGGCAGAGAAAAATCTAAAATGAAACCCACGCATTGGCTATTTAGATTCATTTTTCTTTCTGACTTCCCTTCCCTTATCTGCAAAAATTCCGTGTCTCTTCCCAGCTTGCCTTGAAGAATAATACCGCAGTTTGCTTTGAAGATATCTAAAGAAGACAAATAGCTTTTCTTTCAAACTGCGTAGCCCTTTTTTCTCAGTAAGTCATTATAAAATCTCTGAAGCAACATATTTTGGTCCACTATTCAAACCCAACTCTAAAAGTCCAAATGGGCATTGCTCCTTTTAAGTAGAGGGATTTTGGCAAAATATGCCAAATGTAGAGAATATACCAAATGTAGAAAATACTTCTTTGATCATTACACAAGTTGTAAAACAAAATTGCATATAATGCAAGCATCCACACACCCCATTATAACAACAGCATGTTCTTTTGAGCTTGATGGCGGGAAGAGTGGCTGTCCAGCATTCCCACATCTATTTACCATTCTGCTTGGGTTTGGTGAAAGTTGGAATCTAGTACTATCTGAATTCATCACAGTTGTTACCATTTATTTTATTTGTCAAGGCCACCCAACCCAGAAAGTTTGGGCAGTGGTCAATGGAATTTGGAGTAGATCCAGACACACAATAGCTTCTTAGTGCATCAGGAAAAGAAATAAATTGGCGCAGCAAAAGGAAGAATTTGGATCCAGAACTCCAAGATCTTTTTAGAAAATTACTGCAGCATTAGTAGAGAGATGTGATTCTGGCATTTTTGACAACATTCGTATCCAGCTGCCTCCTGTTGTCAGATACAGTGGTTTATTTTGCATAGGAGTTGCAAGCTACAGATGTTACCCTCTTAGGTATACCAGGATCACACTACTAAAATTCAGCAGCAAAATCCCAACTTTCCGCAATATTTTGTTATTGGAGCATTATGAAGTAAGGATGGAAATGTCAAGCCTTTAAGCAGCAAATACCAGCCATGTGACTTGGGCTGAAAAACCTTTTCAAGGTTTAAAGGTGGGATAAGAGCAGAGAAGCCTCTGACTTCCTTCCCCAACTTTACAATCTCCACAAATGTAAATTTAGAAATAGATGAGAAACTAACACTAATTCTTTTTAGGGCTCATCCTTGTGGTGCTTGCAACTTCCTGTAAAACCAGATGTTTGAGTTATTCATCTTTGATCTAATATGCAGATATTTTTCTGACTGGCTGCAGTTCTCAAGGTCTCAAGAAAAAAACTATCCTAACCCTGCAACTTAGTGTCCTTTTAATTGGACACTTTTAATTTGATTGGAAATTAGTTGGGATTTAACCTTTCTGCAGGGATGTGTGCTATGGTGGAGGGCTTAATTTGGGGCTACCGAATCTATAGGCTAGATTTTATTTTTCTCAGAATCCAGTAATGTTTGATGCTTTTTGAGGTGCTTTGAATGGAAGTTGTTAATTTACAGAACCAAATAAGTATAAAAATGGTTGCGTTTATTTCATTCCGCAAAACTAAACATGAATAGAGAAAGAGAAAGCTGTCCCTTTTCACGAGGGCTTGCAACAATATTGTCCTTGTTCATAGGTTTGCTCAAATATAAAGGAAGAAACTGCATTACTCATTTATGGAACTGGTTTTGATTTATACTTCATTATGTGAACAGACTGCCAAAATATACAGTAGGTTATTAACAATTTTTGTGGCTCCTACATTTCTGAGACACGGATGGCCCTAGTCCTAGAATAGTTGTGGCAGAAATTGTGCAGTCTTGGACTTGGCCCTCCTTTTCTTGCCAAGCAATGCATCCTTGAGGATCCATACAAAAACCCCTGTGGTTTTTACCATCAGCGGGTATGTTAACCTTGAGTCAATTAACCTTTCTGAACTCAGAGAATTATTGGCTTTTCTTTTTGGTCATTGTCTTGAAATTAAAGTGCTGTTGATGTTTTATCATCCAGATAAACTAGTTTCATATCATTTC